ATATGCAGTGTATTATTTGTTGAAACTGTACTTCCGATTTGATTTGAAACTGTCTCATTGCTATCTGTTTATCAATAAAACTTTGAAAAAAAAAAGTTTAACATAAAAAAGAATGCATTGCAAAAAAAAAAAAAAGAAAATGTAATGCAAACAAAAACAAAGTTTTGCCAAATGCTTCTATGTGTAAACCAAATTGTTCACAAGCAAACACATTCATGAAGCAAGGTACCTGTGTATATATATTAATTAATAAAATGATTGTAATTAATATGGCAAGGGCCGGGTAGATAGCACGGTAGAATAAGCACTTGCCTGGCAAGCACAAGGTCCTGAGTTCAATCCCCAGTATCGCAAAAAAGAAAAAAAGTAATTAGTGTGGCAGTACCTGGTATATCATATATTCTCAGTAACTTGGGAGTTCTTGGTTATGATATTTGTCCTTGCCGAGACTCTCACAGTCCCATAATCCTGCATTAGAAAAGGTCCCTTAATCACACACCAACTCATTCACGTACATCAGACACCAAATCCTCAATAGCACCCACAGGCGCAGGATTATAGAGGCAGCATCTCAGTAAACTGCTGAATCTGGAGATCTCCCTCTTGGAGGCCTGTGGATACATCCCAAGTACCAATGTGGGGGGAGAGCTCCCAGACATTAGCATCACAGGTGTCCACACAGCCAGGGGTTGCCTCAGCGGGACAGAGACACACCTGTGCCCAGCCCATCTGCTAAAGACCACATCATAACAGTGCATGAAACATCCCCAAAATATCCAAACTTAACCATCAGAAAAGCACATTTCCTAAATTCTTCTGCATTAAAAAACACTACTTACTGCCAAGACGACCTCCCTGATATTGGCCACATAGAGTGTCACGTAGTCCTTGATGTAGGTCTCCAGGTCACTGAGCGGAACTTGGAACCAGTTCATAGCCAGCAGCCCCTCGTTCTCGTTATTGCCGCTCCACAGGATAACAGACGGATGGGGTTTCAGTCTCCTGACCTGGAATTCAGGAAAACACAAATATATGCAAAAATACACTCAAAACATGACAACCTATAAAATTAGAGCCCCTACATTTCAGAACACACACTGTCTGTCTTTCTCTCTGTCTCTCTCTCTGTCTCTCTCTCTGTCCATCTGTCTGTCTGTCTGTCTCTCTCTCTCTCTCTCTCTCTCTCTCTCTCTCTTTCTCTCTCTCACTCACTCACTAGAAATGGA